ATTTGGCTGCATTAAAATACAGTATGTGAGCACAGAGAGACAAACAAATGTTAAAGGCAACAGACGCGATGACGTCATGAATATTCTAATTAGCGTATGACGTCATCTGGCGACATTTAGCGACTTTTCAAACTGGCTTTAGCTACTTTCTATTGAAAGAAGTTGGCAACACTGGTGCGGAGTGTGAAAGCTGAACAGTAGCGTGCTTGGGCTACTGCATGACAGATGGTGGCGCCGCTGCGATCATTTGCTCTTAAAATACTTCGTCATTTTTGGTCATATAGATAGGAGAAATGCATCTTTTGTATCTGTAAAGTTCGTGTGCTCTCAGAATAACAACGAAACGTTGTGCTTTTGTAAAATAATGAAAGCTAAAATGAACGACTACTAGTCGACCAGAAAAATCTTTACTTGAGGGCAGCCCTACTGCACATGTGCTACACGTGTAATGCCTAAAGGTGAAGTGTGTAATTCCTGTCACTGGCAGCACTGAACAGAAATGTATAAAATAATGATGCTTTTCCAAACAGGTGTCCAAAACACTCCTTCTTCCCAGATTCCCGCCAAACTGACAGTCCTGCCCCAAACTCATCCCATTTGTTGAAGCAGACATTGACTATTGAGCCACTCAAACAAACAGAGCAATGTTTGGAAAGTGTCATTAGGAATTCAACATAGAAAATTTTTAGTAGCCAGACATTTGACTTTCTTCATGAAGTCTGGTTTATATTGCAGCTCACCCTGGCCAGGACCATTTAGACAGGAAGAGACTGTCTGACATTTCAAAATGGTGAAAAACTCAAACAATTAAATTTTTTAGCCTCCAAAAATTTTCAACATTTATTTGTGTATGTATTAAAAATAATAAAAACAATAATAAAATATGCTGTATGTTTTACACATTATTATTACTAATATATGACCCTGGACCACACAACCAGTCATAAGGGTCAATTTTTCGAAATTAAGATTTATACATCATCTGAAAGCTGAATGAATAAGCTTTCCATTGATGTATGGTTTGTTACGATAGAACAATATTAGTCCGAGATACAACTATTTGAACATCTGGAATCTGAGGGTGCAAAAAAATCTAAATATTTAGAAAATTGCCTTTAAAGTTGTCCAAATGAAGTTCTTAGCAATGCATATTACTAATCAAAAAGTTTTGATATATTTACGGTAGGAAATTTACAAAATATCTTCATGGAACATGATCTTTACTTAATATCCTAATGATTTTTTGCCATAAAAGAAAAATTGATAATTTTGACCCATACAATTTATTTTTGGCTATTGCTACAAATATACCCGTGCTACTTATGACTGGTTTTGTGCTCCAGGGTCACATATAATAATATAATTTTTAAATGGAAAATGTGTATTTTACACATTAATATCATCCTTAATAATGCCAATAATAATAGTAAAAAATAAAAATATTAAAATATGCTTAATATACCCAAGATAATTTAGTTTTTATGTATGTTTTATGTTTTTCTTGATTTCATATTAGCAGGTGAAAAAACTCCATTTAAATTTTAGCCTCCAAAAATTGGCAAAATGTCAGTATTAGTATTATTATCAATGTATATTTTACACATTAATATCATCCTTAATAATGCTAATAATAATAATAGTAATAATGAAAATAAATAAATAAAAATATACTTAATGTACCAAGGATAATTTTGTTTTAGTTTGTAGTGTTTTTCTTGATTTTATATTAGAAGGTGAAAAAAGTCATTTCAAAACCTCCAAAAATGTGCAAAATATGTGTGTTATTATTATCAATCAATTCATTAATTAATTTTAATTAATAATAATAACAATAATACAAATATATTAGTGCAGATTTGATGGCACTAACTTCGAGCGACGAATTCTTCCTGGAGCTGTCTGCACTTAAAAAAAACAAAGTTACACACATCACCTTTAATCCTTGTTGAAACAGTCCAGATTCCTGAGGACAGTGCATACTTAGTACATACTACTCTGGTAGTGATGATGGCAAAGGGATCAAAGTAGGCTCTCCGCCTGTTTACAAAATATAATCCGTCATATTCTTTGACATTTTCAGGCGTGTTTAATGTCATAACAGATTTGCATACGTCCACACTCTTAAACTGAACGTAGTTTGGACCTGGCTTTGACGTGTACGTCTGCTGCGGGGATTTAACACGCCATCCACAACAACAGAGTGTTTTGGGACTTTAGGAGCGTTAGGTCGCACAGGCTTCAGCCTCCCATTCCCTCCTCCTCCTCCTTCTCCTCCTCTCTCTCCTGTCTCTGTGTCTGCTCTTAATGGGATGATGGTGGACGTGCCACTGTGATAACCTGCATGCCAGAAACACCTCCGGGTGTGCCAGTGACCTGTTTAACCCTCTCTTTGCCAGCTGCTGCCGCCACTTCTCTCTGTGTCTTCTCTTTCCTGTTTGATTTGATTTTGGTCCCCTTTTCCTTTTGTGGTTGTTTTTGACTTGTTCCTCCTCTCGGCCTGACCCTGTTTGCTTGTGTCCTGCGAGTGTACGGGGGTTGGACACTGAAGGGGGCTTCTCGCTCTGTACTTGTGTAGTTCAGAGGTGGGGCACTGAGGAGGTGGCCGCCTGGCTGGAGCAGCTCAGCTTGGGAGAATACAAAGAGACCTTCATCCGCCACGACATCCGCGGCTCCGAGCTCCTGCACCTGGAGAGGAGAGACCTCAAGGTATACACACAACCCCTTTCTGTGCCTCACGATGTCCCTCAGATCAACCGAAACGCTCTTTCTCTGTCCATCTCGCTCTTTGACTCTCACTCTGTCCTCTTACCTGTCACCCTGTTTGCTATTTTGTGCTGCACTGCTCTGCTTGGCTTCCTCTGTGCAAGTGTCGTTCGGGTCTCCGAATACTTACACGACTAACCACCTGACGCACCTGGGTTATTTTAAGTCGGCTAGGCTCTGAAGATGTGGTTGTGTGATGGGCAGCTGCATTTGTGTAGCTCATGAGTACAGTCAACATGTTTATGTGTGTGTGTGATTCGGGGAGCGCTTTGAGCAAATCAGGCCCTGTTTACACCTTCTAGGAACATGCGGAAATGATTGTGAGGGGAAGATCTCGAATTTCTTGAGTGCTTACGCTACCGTTCAAAAGTTTGGGGTCTGTGAGATTTTTAAAAGAAGTCTCTTGTGCTCACCAAGGCTGCATTTATTTGATCAAAATACAGTTAAAACTGTAATATTGTGAAATGCTATTACAATTTTTAAAAAATTAAAATTTTATATTTGAACATATGTGACTTTGGGCCACAGAACCAGTCATAAGGGCAATCTTTTGAAATTGAGATTTGTACATCATCTGAAAGCTGAATAAATAAGCTTTCCATTGATGTTAGGACAGGACAATATTTGGTTGAGATACAATTATTTGAAAATCTGGAATCTGAGGGTGCAAAAAAAACAAAATATTGAGAAAATCGCATTTAAAGCTGTCCAAATGAAGTTCTTAGCAATGCATATTACTAATCAAAAATTATGTTTTTATATATTTATGGTAGGAAAGTTACAAAATATCTTCATGGAACATGATCTTTACTTAATATCCTAATGATTTTTGGCATAAAAGAAAAATCGATAATTTTGACCCATACGATGTATTGTTGGTTATTGCTACAGATATACCCCAGTGACTTAAGACTGGGTTTGTGCTCCAGGGTCACATATTTTAAAATTGTATTTATTCCTGTGATTACTCCATTTTTACTGATTATTGATCACTCCATTACTCCAGTCTTTAGTGTCACATGATCCTTCAGAAATCGTTCTAATATGCTGATTTGGAGATCAAGAAATATTTCTGATTATTGTCAGTTGTGCTACTTAACATTTTTGTGGAAACCGTAATACTTTGAAATAGAAATCATTATAAATGTCTCTACTGTCAATTTTTTTTTAATCAGTTTTATGCATCCTTGCTGAATAAAAGTAAAAAAAAAAAAGGCTTACTGACCCCAAACTTTTGTTCAATAGTGTCACTAACTAACTATATCACAGTGTTACTGCATGTTGACAAGGTGGTATACAGTAAAAAAAAAAGTACAGAACATTATTCAACATTTTTGCCAGAAATGTGACGTTTCAATTGCATTATTTTGGTCGAGAAACAGTATTTCAGATGTGTTTCACATGATTTTCACACATTTATTCACTAAATGCATTATTTGTGTCATTGTATATGACAGTCGTTCTCAACTGGTGTCTCGTGACACAAACAGTGGCAGGTCTGAAATGCAAATTAAAAAATCATATAATAATGCATAGTGAGAATAGGAAATATCAACTTTGTAAGATAGGAGAAAACACCAGCAAAACCAGTACAGTTCTCAATAATATAATATAATATAATATGAGATATAAACAGGACCTCACTTATAGCTGTATAGTGGAGCTATGTTAAACAATGAAACTGTATATATATTAAACAGTTTAGCACAGTGATAGATCACTATAAACATCCTCGCCCAAAACTCAATGACGCTTTCATGTGTACTTGTTGAAGTAATAAATATATCATAATACATTCAATAAAGGTGCTATACATGCTCATGGATCACACCTCCCAGTGTTGAAGAATTACATAAAGGGTTGGTGAAAGCAGCTCAGTGTTGTGTAGTGAACATGTGTGAGATGCTCTGGTCACACTTATTATCACAAGCACTAGTGAACCTTGGACTGTGCCATTTTTACGCCTCTGTTATGTCCCCCCATTTCAAACGCCCCTGCCATTTATCTGGTGGTCTAACCTCATTCTGTCTTTAGGGATGTCCTCAAACATATTTTGAAAACTTATTTGGGACATAAATAGATCTGAGTGTTTCAGCTGTAAACCAATCAAGCTCAAATTCAGCAGTATTGTGACATTTGCCGTCACTGGATCAGCTGCATTGTTTTAACCCGAGGTTAACCTGGGTTGTTGTGTTTCCTTAACTATTGATCAACTGATATTGGTGTTGTAATGGCCGATGCTGATAGAAATATCTAGAGAGCAGAGTGGACGACGACCAATATAATGGCAATATATAATTAAAATAATAGCAAATGTAGTACACAAATTGCTTCAATGGAAACGTACTTTAACAAAATGAATCTGTAGCCTATTTTTTATCTGTGTAATGCCTCGTTTAGATTAGCCTGACTGCCACTAGATGTCACTTTTTCTGTGGCTTTATCTCAAACCTACTACACAGATGGTTTTATTACAGTTCGCTCAGGGAGACACCAGAGTCAGGAATTTCCATAATCATTTTAAATTGACAGTTTGACTGATTATCAGTTTAAAATGATTGTGGAAATGCCTGACTTTGATTGCACTTAAGTGTATGGTCAGTACTGCAAAACATACATTCAAGACTCCTATATATATATTTTAACTACAAATTAAATTAAAAATAGTCTTACTTAAAGGGTTAACTGTAGCATTCGCTTTTGCCAAAAAGTAGGGAAACTTCACCACCCATAATGCACTGGACTCGATACGACTGTCTGTGAGCAAAAACAATCTATACTTTTCACAAAAGCCCCAGAGCTGTCAGAAGTCCAGCGGATGATGCAGAATGAGGCATTTTACGTCATCCGTCTGACTTTTGCTATCAAATAAATGGAATGTCTCGGTGCGAGTGTCACACGGAGAAAGTGTACACATTGTTTATTTAACATTGTAATACAAAGCTGGTTGAAAATCAGCTTTACTCTTTAAGAAGTGTGAGTATTTTTTGTGTTTAAATGACCATTGTTAATTCATTAAGAGAAAATACAGATGTGACATTTTCTTCAATCAAATTGTATTGCGTGGGACATAAAATATTTAAGTGCTATTTTAATATGTGTTTTAATTTTTTTAATTACATTTGAACTTTATTTTAAGGTGTCTCTGTTACAATGTAGTTCAACAAATCAGTACGGAGTAATATTAAGTAAAACCTGTACTTACTATAGCAGGGTTCCTCAAATCTTGCCCTGGAGGGCCAATGCGCTGCAGAGTTTAGCTCCAACCCTGATCAAACTCACCTACCTGTGATTTTCTAATGATCCTGAAGACATTGATTAGCATGCTCAGGTGTGTTTGATTAGGGTTAGAGCTAAACTCTGCAGGAAAGTGGATCTTGTGGGCCAGATTTGAGGATCCCTGTACTATAGCTTTAGGGTTAGGTGCTTTAGGATTGGTTGCTTGTTATTATGCATAATTTGTAACGTGTGTAGCAAAGACACTAAAATAAAATGCTTTGAAAACACTTGGTTTAAACTTGGGTTAAACTGAAGCTTAGTTGGTGTATGGTATCAATAGTGCAATAAAAGTGTTTTATTCCGCAAAACAAAAATCCAAAAGAATCAAAGAGTAATTAAATGCAACAAGTAAAGAGTACAAAAATGCAACAACTTATACATAACTTTTTGACGTGAGCTGAACTCCTGAAGGTGTGAGCTCTGGAAACGCCTCGTTCTGAGTGCACTTCTGTTTGTCTGCTTCCTCTAGGATCTGGGGATCTCGAAGGTGGGTCATATGAAGAGAATTCTCCAGGGAACTAAGGACTTGGCCAAGAGTTCGATGGTGGACCTGTGAGAGACGTCAACACACATTCCGTTCGTGAGCGAAGAGGAGTTGAAGCGGGAGCTCCGGCGTGGGAAGTGCTTGGGTGTTGTGGATCTTTGTAGGAATAGCTTGTAGGAAAGCTAGGAATGTTTGTTTTGGTGCCAAAACGACAAGGATTTTGTCAGAGACTTTTAGCCCCATAGAAAAGCCATTCCTCACTTATCCCATCGACGGCACAATCAGGTATGCAATTCTCATCGCGCACGCGACCTCTGGCCTCTTTAAACAGATTCCAAATCAAGTAGCAGAACAGGACTTCCAAACCGAGAGGAGAGGAGCACACGGCCTCTGAGTAGCTCACTGGCTCTTTGCCTTGCGGTAGATGGCAACAATAGCAGGGCGATGTGATGTGTCAGCAATATTCTGCACTGTTTACATTTTAAGGAGATGGGAAAAAGTCTGCTGGTGTATCGCAATCAAACGGCAACCATCGCAGTGCGGCGGTGCAGTCCAGGAAAGGTCAAAAGGGGTTTCCTTCGCCAGTGACATACTGATGCATGGTATGCTTGCTATATTTGGATAGCTGTTTTACTGCATGATCTGCGTCTTGTTTTTTATTGTACAAACTAACACTTGAACAAGTTTTATATGAATTTAGTATGATGCCATTTGTTACTACTGAAGCATCCCTTTGGTCAAAGTAGACTGCTGATTTATTTCTATTTATCTGTCTGCATGGAAACCTTGTGTCAAAGCAGTGTCATGTGCCATATTTATTGTCATATGAGCTTTATTGGTAAGAAATGTTTTAATCTTGCAGTAGGACGTTAGGTAAGTCGGTGAAATAAGTACCAAAGAGAATGTCCCCTGGTTTTTAAAGCGAAAAGAACATTTCAAAAGTTTAATCCCCCCCCCCCAAATGTTTGAAATATTCATCGAAAATGGTCAAATCTGAAGTGGTTCGGAAAAACATGAACACCGCGACTCTTTGTAGCTTAAAGCATATTATTATACATTAGTTGAAATAAGACTTTTGAATAAGAAATTGCAGTTGACCTGCAACTTTACATAGTTGATATTTACTGAGTTCAGGAACCCAGTGCAAGTTTGATAGGATCATCTACATTTGGTTGGTGGCATTACAGGGTATAAGAGATTGTTTGTTAATATATGCACTGTATATTAAGTCTAAACTGTTAACTCCAGTTATGAGTAAAGCCTTTGTATAATAGAACGCTTACATGATATTATCAGATGACACATTTATTTGTGTATAGAGCACCATAACACCTTTGTGAATTATTCGGTTAAGTAATCGCCTTTACACGTTAAGTGCTGTTGTACTCTATGGAAGGTGCAATATTGTATTTCTTTTTGATACATTTCTTCTCTACAAAGCTTTATTATGTGAGCTTTTTCCATGGAAAACTAAAAAGATAAACTTCACACACTCCTCTTTTTTTCGGTTTTGGATTAAGGTGGACTTTGGGTCAGACAAAATCATGCCATGTTCTCTCCAAAATTCATAAATCTTCCATGAGCAAATTGTTGATCCTGTCTAACCGTGCTTCCAGGATAATTTGCTAGACGGCTGGATGTTTCCTCATACCGACTATAAAACTGTTGTGCCTCTATTTTTTCCGCAAAATGGAAAATTTCGAGCTCGGAGCTACACGTAGTTCTACATAAGCCAACCCGACCAACAGCGCACACGGGACTCATAACAGTGGATTTTAGGTTTATGTTATATTATAACGTTCCTCTAGAGGGTGTTCGATAACATCAAAGTAGCACTTGATATATATACAGAGCGAAAGTGAGTAGTGTCGGAAAAGATGTGGTGTTCCCAACCAAGAAATCCAATTCTACCCACAATTTACCTGAAGTGAGAATTCAAACAAATATGGAGGATGAGAACAGACCTGGAGGATGGGGTTTGGTCTGTTGGGTGGAACCGAATAGTTTTTAAAAAGAAAAATACACATTTGAAGAGTTCATTGAGAGTTTGGCATTATTATGAAACGATGGGATTAAAAACAAGACTGAATTCACGACAGCGTTCATTTATCATTAATAGATTATATTAGTGGTTCTCAACTGGTTTTGCTCCAGGATCTGGATTTTGCGATCAACATCTCATGGCGCCAAACAAGGAAATGTCCTTAAAAGTCATTAATATTACCATGAACTGACAATTTTGTGAATGCGCAAATAGTAAAAGTGTGATTTACACTTTTTATAGCTTGTGTGTTTGTTTTCTAAATGTCAGTGATGGTTTTATGCTCTCGGCAGCCAATAATTCACCACACAAAACACATTGTGGTCTGCACAAACCATGTTTATTCTTGTTGTAAGTGAACCCGTATTTAATGTAGTTTGGCCTTGTCCATATTGGCATCTGTGCAATACATCTAGCTTCCACCAAATGAAAGACAAACTTAATGCCGTCCAGTTTGATTGGGGGTGCATAATGCTGGATGTACAAAATGAAAAACGAGGAAAACAGTTTCTCCTGTCTTTTAAAAGTTGATAAGCCTATTTATAACTAGACACAACTATACAGTTAATTGCATTCTAGCTGCTGAGAACCACTGGCGTGTCCATGATAAAGGCACAACAGTGCAGCCTGCATTTTTCAGAAATCCATGTCATTTGTCCGTTGCGGTTTAATTGGCAACTTAATGTCTCTCACTTCCCGTCTTTTCTCAGTAGTGAGCACCTACTGAGGTTTCAGCGTCTGCCTGTAGGCATTTCAGGTTGGCTGTTTAATGGCAGGCCCATGTGAAATCTGCGCCAGCAGAACTCCGCAAAACCTCAAGTTTTACACATTCCCTTTCACTTGCGTATTCGTTTAGGAAATATTTGGGCCTTTCAACTACCACTCAGTCTCTGTATAACACATTATTCCTTTTTAAAATCCATTCACAGACATTTTCTCCAAAATCACCTGAGCTTAATAATAGGCAAGAGAACAAAACTAATCTGATAAACATTTGATCTGACAATCAAATGGTGCATTTATAGCAACTGTTTGCAGTTATATAATATCGAAACCTATGTGCACATACAGTACCTCCACGCATTCTGAAAAACGACTGAATGTAGGCCTACTGATATGCTTTTCAGATATGCATTTCTGAGTGCATTACAAAAGGTAATTTCCCCAACTAGCTTAACTCATGACCAAAGACACAAGAATGCTACAAAGCTCCCCGAAGCCTGGTTTAATTGGCCATACATGATCTCTGTTTGACAGGTGTAGCAGATCGACCTTGTATATGGTGCCTCTGTATAGTTCATTTGTTCACAACAGACTCAAATCACACAAGTGCAGTCTTCCTCTCATGCCACACTGAATACATGTGCACATGATCACATGAACCTCAGTTCAGTTCTCAAGCCACCACTGAGTGTTTTTCATTGGATTGTGAGTGACAGTGGGATTCGGCTTATCGATGATGGCGAACGTAAAGCTGTAAACTAACTGGTATTTCAAAAACAAATTCATTTGGGGAATTTGTAGAGCAAGGCAACATATCTTTGACATGATTTATATCCAGTTAAGAGAAGTGCGATGTGAGTTTCATTTGTTTACATTGTGTTTACAATGGCACAGTTTCATTTTTAAGACTACATGTATAGGTATATTTACAATACTTGCATATTTATTAAGGTTAAACAACTGACGTGTATGTGTTTTCACTATTGGGATATAATGTTACGGTAGTCACTTGTATTGATATCTGGATGATTTTGGTAAGTAGTAGCCTAGGTAATTTTTATGACTACTAAGTGACTGTTTTCTGTGCCTTTTTATCGTAGATGCATGGTTAACTATTTATTACAATATGAAGGTCACTGAGATGTGTATTTTTGTATCCTGATTAAATAAGTGTTTCGATTTTGATGTACATTTTGAGGTGGTAAAACGCTGCCAGTTGATATCTTCCTTCTTCAATAAAATTGAATGCATACACAGTACACTCTGTGTCTTGGATGTTTGACTTATTAATTTGATTTTGTCTTGTAAGTTTCATTAGATATGCATTAACACACCATAGAATTAACACATTGGAATAACAGACTATTATTTTTCAATAATGCTATATGACATTATAGTAGGGATTTTGTTTAGATCTGTGACAACATTATTATAAAAAACATTCATTACAATTGTGCTTAAAAAATATTAACCTCACACATATACCTCAGATCTGGAAACTGTACAGTAGATAGATAGATAGATAGATTTACATATTTTATATAGATTTACATAGTTTACAAATTATATATATATATATATATATATAAAATAGAGAGAGAGAACAGAATATTTTAATCATTTAATTTATTATTATATTATTACATAGACTCATGTTTGAGATAGAGACACATCTGGTAGAAAAATGAATGTGAGGAACCACAATAAGAGTAAAAATCAGATTTGAGTAAGAAACCCATTAATTTTATCCATAGACAAATTGATTTTCAGCAATAAAACATATCCACCCTGAGCTCGGAGTTAAGTGATGATATATGCTTCTGTAAAGGTGTGATTTATAGCTTAATTCCCAGTGCAGAACTACATTACCCATAATTCTGAAGAAAGTTCCACCAATCAGAGAAGCTGGTGTTACCATGGAAACAAAATTGCTGTAACTGACATGTCAAATTCTAAAAATAGACTTTGTTCTCATTAGGAAGCGAACTGTAAACTTCATCACAATTCTCTGGTAAATTCTTTAAATTGTTTCTATAGCCTGTTATTTTCGTTGTAATCCCCTCCAAGAAAACACGATATGTCAGAAATAATGTTAAAACAATAAAATACTACATTAAATTGTATTTATTTTATTTTGCAAGTTGATCATACTCCCATCATTGTCTCTGCGCTCAACTTCTCCCAGCCGCCGCTCTGGGTTTGATTACTCTCGCCTGCTCGTCTTGTTTTCATGAAATGAACGGACGTGAGAGCAGCTAGCTGCCCACTCACTGCACGGCTCTGTCACTACAAGGTGAGACGCGCCTCATTTTCATTTGTATGTCATTTTCCAGCATTCATCCCATATCGCAGAGTAGTTACAAACCCATCGAAGGGTGTCCAAGATGCGGATCACGACTGATGTTATCACAGGCCTGATGCTAATGCGCGAGCCAGCTGCGTCTGTAATGAAATCATCAGGCTTTAGCATTAACCACACAAAAACATATGTCTGATGATGCTTTTACGTGCATTGTTCGTAAATAAAATCTGCGATAATTCAGTCATAATGCCTATCCCGTGGCGATACCTGAAAATGAAAACAAATCATCGAACCAAAAATGACCGATAAGCATCAGATACGACATAAACATGATTGCAGATTAACTGACGTCGTGAAGAGCATCGAAACGTGTGTTATAAGAGTCAAATGGCGGATTGTCGTCGTGCTGTCAGAGCTGGAGAATTGTGATGGGTCGTATTTGAAGCATTATTGACAGTGTTGCAAATACTGAGTTTTAAAATCAGGGTGTTATTATGGCAAGGGATCCACATCATGTGCATTACATTTTGCACACAGCCACTCCCCTTTATAAGCTGGGAACAGCCAGTGATCTCATAAACATCTGTTGGTTTCAGGAAATCATTTGACCCTGCTGATGCTCACATGCAGCAGCCAGCGCCATCACTTGCTCATGTTGATGTCCTCTTTCTCATGAAGACGCCGCTGGGGTTCAGGCTTGCTGTAAATGTGCTCTTTTTGTTCTTAGAAAAAATGTTTACCTTTGCAGTCCCCACCCACACACAATCTGAAGTCAGCTATTTCAGCATTCAGGTGTGAACGCTTGTTTAGTCAGAAAGACTAGCTGGTTCAGTGCTGTGGAAATGCTCTGGTCCTGTCGAAATCAAGCTCTTCTGCTCCATCAAAGGCCTGCAACCAGTTGCAACACACCTCTTTAACACCTCTTGGGGGGATAGTTCCCCCCCAATACTTTTTATTTCTTCTTCTCCTCCATAATTTAGTCATGTTTCAAAAGTGTAAGACTTTCTTTCTTCTGCTGAAGAATGTTGGTAATCAAATCATTTTGGTTCCCATTGTGTTCCATTGCATGGCCTAAAAACAGATGTTTCCCCAAAATATCTTCTTTTCACCCCAAAATGAAAAGTCTGTCATCATTTACTCTCCCTCATGTTGTTCCAAACCTGCTTAAGTTTCTTTCTTTCTTCCACATGGTTGGTAACCAAAGAGTTCCTAGTAGCCATTGACTTACATAGTTTTTTTTTTTTAAGTCAATGGCTACCAGCAATGTTTGGTTATCAGCATTCTTCAAAATATCTTCTTATGAGTTTAACAGAAGAAAGAAACTCATACAGGTTTGGAACAATATGAGGGTGAATAAATGATGACAGAATTTTCATTTTGGGATGAACTATCCCTTTAAAGACTTAAAGAATGCCAATAATGCATTCAGTTGTATTGAAATAGAACATAAACATAGTGTGTTCTATATTTTTGTTGTTGTTGTTGTTTTTATCTTTTTACCTTGATTTCATGCAAATATCAGCAGACATCAGTTAAAAATCCTGTTCATTTTCTCCGTAAGGGAATTGATTTTTTTTAGCTGTTGTTGAAATCAGCAGTCTGCATATTATTTCAACTCTTTTATTTCTATATTAATAATGAAGATCTTTAAGTCAATTTTATGTTTATATTTAGTTTTGTATTTCTCCATTGATTTTCATTCAATTGTCTTTCACAATACTTCATGGGATTGTAGTTTTTTCCCTAATTAAAGCTGTTAAAGGGATAGTTCACCCAAAAATGAAAATTCATCGTGGTACGCACGCCGAATTCTGACACAGAAGAGAAGAAATTGTTGAACAAAGTTCTCTGATTTCATCAAAAATATCTTAATTTGTGTTCTGAAGATGATCGAAGGTCTTACGGGTTTGGAACAACATGAGGGTGAGCAATTAATGACAGAATTTTCATTTTTGGGTGAACTATCCCTTTAACTACACAGTCTGTTGTGTAGTGTTGTGATTCTCCTTGTGGCTGGTTTGGTTCATGACTTACAACTCTTTAATCAAGACCTTTTAAAATCCCTATGGGAAAAATGAGTGGGAAAAATACTTAGAAACCAAGGCCGCTGAAAAAGTAGGCATGCACTGTAGCACTCTAGTAAAAAACAAACATGCCATCAGTTCGTAGTCCTTGAACAAACGTATTTGTCAGGCCGTAAACAAATGGTGTATTATAATTAGACTGAGCAAGCATTCGGGGAGAGATTTCGTTCTGAGGCCTTAATAACCCACAACAACAGATGGATACACTCACCTAAACTGCTGCTCAAGAGCTAGCTATCTGCATGTGACACTTGCTACTTATTTATTTTTTTCTCTACTTTATCAGATTCTGTTTCGAATCCCTCTTTGCTTTTTCACGCACGCTTCTGCAGTGCACAGATAAGATCTCACTGCTCCTGCACACCGTTTCGGTTCAGGCTACGTGAGAAAGTGATAACAGCCTGACATTGGGCCGTCATATAGCCTAGACCTATATTTTTCAATCATTTTGGTCTACCGCACACACACAGATGGCCCAAGATAACTTGTAGGCTGTGTAACGCTAAAGGTGTGGATTGTTCAACTTTCACTGTTTAGGTAATTTTTAGTCTTCTCGTATTCACCCCTGTGTTTCTGTCTTACTGGAGCAGCTGGAACTCCCATATATTACCCATAAATCATGTGATAACCATAATCCAACTTAAAGGCATAGTTCACCCAAAAATAAAAATTCTGTCATCGTTTACTCCCCTTCATGTTGTTCCGAAACGCTTGTTCTTCTGCAGAGCACAACAAGACATTTTGTTTCATTTGTCCATATAATGAAGTCAATGGGTTCCAAAATCAGTATTACCTAAAAGTCATGATTTTTTTTGGATTTCATACTTTATTTACACTAGGTGTGTTTATATGCACTAATTTTCATCAATCAGATTTCCAATTATGAAAGTTCTGTTCATATGAACCCTTTACATTTGGTTTTCATATTTATACATGCATTATATGTGTTACAAATAAAATGTTTGTAGGCTCGTTCAGAACCGGCAAAAGCCAACGTGATAAATATACAGACATAAATGCTAGAAGAGCTTTTTTTAGTAAATACTGAGTAAATCAGAATAAGAATCCGAAGAGCTTTATTACCAAGTATGTTTACACACACAAGGAATTTGACTTGACGACAGGAGCTTCCAGTGCAGAAGAAAGTACAGACATAGTGCAGACATACATGGGAATACCACAGTAGGGATGGAATATAACACTAATATAAGAAAAAACTGAATTCAATAATGTACTATATACAGAATCGAAGTATAGGAAAAAATTGTAGTTTAAATAAATGTACAGATATGTTATAAATGTGCAGATATGTTATTTACAAAGTGTGCAGTTTACAAGTGTACAAATTTTGGATTCTGTGTATAAATATGTCAATTGTGATGCACGATGTATAATTATGATAGTTTAATTGTTCAGGCTGAATATAGCCTGCGGGAAAAAACTGTTCTTGTGCCTGGCTGTTCTTGTGGTCACTGCTCTGTAGTAGGCATGGGCCGGTATGAGATTTTGACGGTATGATAACCTTAAGCAAAAATATCACTGTATCACGGTATTGTCGTTACAGCTCTAAAATGTGTTATTTTTAAATGACTGGGAAAAAAAAAACATTTTTCGGCTGAACACAATATATTTTGAGCAAAATAGAGAATATTAGGAACAGTAGAATTTGTTTATTTTTTTCTTTGATTTGTTTCCTAAAAAGAAGAAAAAAAGTCTTTATTGAACCTAATCTGTAATTACAGTTATTTCATTTTAGTTATATAATTCATATACATATCATTTATATCATTTCATATCATTTATTTATTATACCTGATATACATAATTTGATTTAATAATAACCCAATTTGAAGCAAAAACAGAATG